TTAAAAATTACAAGATTGTGATTAAATAATGAGCGCGAGCGTGGCGTAACAGACAGCACACTGGCCTGCTATACTAGAGATTCCAGGTTCGATCCCCGACAGAACCGAAAATTTTCGTACGCTCATAGCTCCTCTCGAAAGGCAATGACAAGCCACCGAGTAGTATACTTGCCCTTTACCAATTCGTCGTTCAAAATCAACGTTAAACTGTAAGTCCCATATGATACAAGCAGCGCACCACAGGCATATGAGAGAAGTCACCACGCTCGACCACGAGCAATAGGACTAAGAAGATTAAATAATACAAGGATCGTACATCATATTTACTTACAATTGATATTTGATCTTCATCAATACTGCCTTGAGATTCTGTGCTGATGTTTATGGGTCGCCTCAAATTTTCTCCACTCTCTTGCGACACAATGAGGGGTTCAGGTTTGACAATGTTAGTAGCCACTAATGTGATTTCATTCATTTCTTCTGGTTTGTCACCTGAACCAGACGTTGAACCAGTTGAAGACTTCCTTAACCTTTTTCTGCGAAAAGAGGGAGATAATGGAGAAGGACTTGGCGAGCAGGATTCACCACGATCCCCTCCGCCTGTTTCGCTGCTTCCACTTGGCCATTTAGTTAATGACGCTGTATGCATTTCCGCGAGTCCCTTTATTTTTAAGCTCTCCGCCGTCTATTAAATAAATAGCACGTTACTCATCATGATCCACAAAGTGTAACAGCAAACTGTTTGATTACTCAGATGAAACATTTTATTTTACCTTTATGATGGATGGTAATTGGTCTTGAGATATGTTCACTTCTCCGTAATACATAAAGTCCACCATAATCTTGAGGTCGGAAAACTTGATGTCCTTGAGTATGACAATAGGGTGCTGACAAGGATTCACTGTGAATAGCGACTGAAAGTACGTGCTGCATGCTGACAGTACGACTTTATGAGCCTGAATCTGCCTGCCTTCAGCAGCGAGAGTGACATCCACTAGGGTCTCATTATTCAACAAATTGGAAAAAACTGAGATGAAATTCGGTTGATGATTGTTCCACCGCAAACAGAACTGTTGCATAGACATTGTGATAGCTTAGGAAGAGTCTTTTGTGAACTTTGACTGTAACACGAGAGAAAAACATAGTTAAAATTAAACAAACATATAACGTAAACACTACAAACAGCGACATGTCACCACTTAACAGAAAGATTGGACAAGAATTGCTTTCATAGGAAGATTATCACTACATATTGTTTAACACGTATCACGTTATAAGAAATATTAACCTCTCTTAAAACAGAATATTTAGAATTTTTGTGCTTAGAATAAATTATCAACTTATAGAATATCAAGTAACATTATAAAAAGAAGATTATTTCATGAGTAACAAAAAAAGTATTTTTCTCTGGTTAAATGAAAAACATCTTGGCTAACAAAGCTCATGAAGATGACACATATGAATACTTCGCGAATGATGAATGATCTAATGGGAGGAGACTCCTGGTTAAAAAGGAGTCACGAAAGCATGACGCAGAGGCAGGTGCGAAATGTCATGCGAGGCGACATGTCGTCGAGGTATCGACGAGCTTCGGCGACGCTGCCGACGTCGTTCGAGATGGATATGACAATAAACAACACGATGCACGACAGGTTCGGTTAAGAAATCTTTCTTCGTAGTTTCGCGCGTAGCTGGCGTGAATAATGTTGATGATCGCGATGATGATCGGCGGACGATGATGCTGGGAAAGAGAGAGAACGAGAAAGACAAAGAGAGAGAGAGAGAGAGAGAGAAAGAGAGAGTCAAAGGAGAGAGAGGAGCGCTCACTCTTGGTCGCGATGCACTTCGTCGTGGTTGCCGACGAGGGTCATACGCCGGTCTCGCTCAAAGGACGACGCACCTCACCGCTGCCACCATGGACTCCGTGAAATTTTCCACAACAGACTGAACGATGACGCTTGTGTAATTCGCGAGTGACGTCATGGGCGAGGAAAGAGGATTTTGCGCGACGACGCCGCGACTGCCGGGGGAGACGCGCGCGCGGACCCGAATTCGCTCGCCGCGAACAGACACCGAACGACGGACGTCAAACACATACACACGGACCCACGCACACGCGCACGCACGCAGGCACGCACGTCACGCGGGAGGATTACGTGGGATTGCGTGTGGTTGCGTGCGATCGAAAAATTTCGCGAGATCTTATCAACGTGCGTCTCACAATATCTAACTTGATCAATATAGCGGCCGACCGGCGCCGCCATCTGGCGAGCGATCCGCGCGAACGCGAGCGCACGGCGGTTTTTCGAAGCTGAGCGAGATACCTCGTCTCTCGCGAAACTCAATTTGGAAAAATAATATTCGAGAATTTATGGAAATGTTGTTCTACTTTAATTTAAATAATTAATTAATTAATGTAATAAACGTCGCTTGAATGAGATTTCGATTGTCTCTCTTACAAAATTATCAAAATATTTATTTTCGGATTTAAAGGTCCGATTCCACCAACGTTATTTTAACTTTAAGCGAGGTTTAAAATACTCTCCCTCTCTGTCTTTTTGTTGGCTTTAAAAAGAAAAAGAGAGAGCTTTTTAAGCTTCTTTTAAAGTCAAAGTAAGGTTGGTGCAATCGGGCCTAAAATATTTTAATTAACGCTTCTCATTTCTTTCTTTATCGTCTTTTTTTCTTTGTCTTCTTCTGTTTTTACTTCTATTTTTTCTTCTATTTATACGTATTCGTTGTCGGTCGATTAATTGTTTATCTTAAAATAAGATGAAAATTATAAAAAAAGAATAAATTTATATTCACTCATAAAATATTTATAATTTTATTGGTCAACAACGTAATTAATTTGCTCACTTCTGTAATTTTCCTCTTGTTTCAAGATACACAATTGATTTCCTGCACGCGCATTTTATAACCCTTGTATTTTGTTGTGATTGTAAAATTTGCTTAAATTCTCCCAAAAACGTCACAGTTATATCACAACAATTATGTTTACTCCAGTAAACGAGAATGGATTCAGATTTTCAGAAATATGGATTCACGAATATTAAAATGAATGCTTTTCAATTTCCTGAATGCATTTTTATTCATTTATAGGAATTGCATGGAGCATATCTCTATACCTTTCAATCTAAAAATAATATCAGCTTTTTCTGTGCATTGTGAATACTGTTCAATTCAAAATTTTGAATTGAACAGTATTCACAATGCACAGAAAAAGCTGATATTATTTTTAGATTGAAAGGTATAGAGATATGCTCCATGCAATTCCTATAAATGAATAAAAATGCATTCAGGAAATTGAAAAGCATTCATTTTAATATTCGTGAATCCATATTTCTGAAAATCTGAATCCATTCTCGTTTCTCGACGTCATGGTGACGTGCGAATGTCCGCCTTTATCACAAACGTGATGTCATAGCAATATCATGATGACGTGCGTCTATGGCTGTTCTAAATTTACTGCCAACATTGAAAATGCTACAGTTTACGTTACGTGCACCATAGATTTTCAGAACTGGCAGTCAATTTTGGAACATGTGCCTTTGCATCATGTATTATTTTGTTGTGATAATCTCTCATCACAGTGACATCATATTTTCTTCCTATTATTGTGACTCTTTGCTACGGGGATTCAATATATCACTCATTGATCATTACATTAACAATTCTGTCTAGTTTATATGTTTTAAATTATTAAAATTTTTTATACTATTTCGATATAATAATTTGGTCTACATACTGATTATAAACGAATGAAAGTACATTTTGATTTAGTGAATTCTCATCAGAATTTTTTTTATCGCAAATTACTTAAAAATGACAATTGAAAGGAAATAATCAAAAGAAATAACAATTTTTCAGTTATATAACAACTGATTAATATTGCTTGTATTACTCAGTATAATAATCATTAATAATAATACTAATAAATACTAACATCAGTGTTCTCAGTTTGTATTTTAAAATTCATCTGATAAAAGCAAATCATGGACGCTGGTATAAAATTTTAAATACAGTCTTTAAAAAAATTAGATTACAACATCGTGCTCTCTAATTTCTCTTGACACTTCGATTTAAAAAAAAATTACAGCTATTCATAGATAAACCGATACAAACAGTTCATCTTTCTTTCTTTTCTCTCCAGTAGGAGGAAAGAAGAGAAAGAAAGATGAACTGGTGCAAAAGTTCAGCCAAAAGGAACAGGCCTACCGAGTCGTGTGAGTCGTGTCGATAAATCGCGAGCGTACGATCGCGCTTTCCGACTCTCGATATCCGGCTGCCAATCCCACTTCCATATCGATGCTCAAGCCGATCGCGTCAGCAGAGCGCTCCGCGAAGGCGCTGCCGCGAACGTCGAACAGGTGTCGTTCCCCCCCACTCTTAATGACAGTCCTAACCTCGGCGCGCTTATTGCTCCATTCTGCTCCGCTCCGTTCCGCGCCGTGCCGCGCCGCGCGCCTCGTATCCGCGCGGTGTCAGGCGTATCCTCCGTTTAGTGCGAGACGACGAACGTCGAAGATGCACGCCCGCGAGCTTCCTCCTGCACCTGCATCGCGCCGTTAGCACCGAGCCGCCGAGGGAAGAAGGTGTGTGAGTATCGACAGGACCAAAGCGTGACCAGCGTGTGGATTTGGAATCGACCAGCCGTTTCGCGACGGGAGAGTAAGACCGAAAATGAAGGAGGGAGAGAGAGAGAGAGAGGATTATCCCCGCGGCCGTCTCTCGCGCGCACGCTATATCTATGTCCCGCTCCGTTCTCGCGATCGCTCTCGTTCGACGAAACAAGCCTAGCGAACCCTAGTCGGCACCAGAGGCGTGTAACGATCGGTCGTCCCGGTCTCGACCACGCGCCGCGTTCCATCACGTACGGCGAGTGTCTTGCGTGTTTCACACTCGCACTAGGAGTCCCTTAGGAGTCGATTTCTTGGCCGTTTCCTTTGACACGATCCGATCTCGGACTTCCACTCGCTCGCGAGATCATCGGGCCGTTAACGCGCCGGAGTAATTGACACTTATATGATAGAGTTAATAATAAAATAGTGCTGCGTGAGAATTGAGATTCGCTCCGAAAAGTCGCTCCAGATTCCACGGAGCACGTAAAAGTTCATTCCTAGAGCTAGAGGAAAAAAAGCTCGAGCACAGAGTCTTTTCTTATCATCCAGGAATCTGTGCTGGTTCTTCTGGTCCAAGATAACACAGATCGAGGGAGAGAGAAAGAGAATCGTGAGTGTTCGATCCTATGTACATATCTGTGAAGAAAGTTCGTGGAAGCGTGCTGCCACGTCTCTGGGCGTCAAACGCGTGGCGCGAAGAGGAGCCGCCGTGTCTTACGTGTCGCTCCGGCTCTCACGAGTGTGCGTGCGTGCGTGCGTACGTGCGTGCGTGCGTGTGCCCGCGATGCGCGTGAATTCCGCCGGCGCGACGTGGTGGATCGACATTAGCGGGATCGACGTTGGCGAGCCTCTTACTCGCCGCGAACCGGTTCGCCGATCACGGCCTCATCCTCCTCGCGACGCGAGGGATACGTGTAACTACGCTCGATCGCCCGCGCTGAAAAGGAACACCTTGGCGCCGCGTCAGTGACACCTCGCGCGAGGAAACGCGCGCGAGCGAGCGAGCACGAGGTCGCTCCGGGGTACACGGCGCGTGCAATGAGAATTTCTTGTTGAAAATGAACTAGAAGGTTCTGATCGTATTAATCAAAATTTTGGTTATCTTCCCTCTAAAACTTTTAGAAAAAAAATTTATTCTATAAAGAGCGAAATCTCAGTCTTAAAGATTCAAATTTGAGCCGCTCTTTTTCAGGAGTGACTCAATTGCCACTCTTTAAAGGAAACGCGCGCGGGCGAGCGAGCTTGAGGCCGTTCCGGAGCACGCGACGCGTGCAATGAGAATTTCTTGAAAATAAACTAGAAAGTTCTGATTACATTAATCAAAATTCTGGTTATTCTTCCTTTTTAGAATAAAAAAATTTTCAGAATAAAAGTTTCACTCTAAAAAGTGAAATCTCTTAAAGATTAAAATTTGAGCCATTTTTTTCAGGACTTAGAGAGTTAACTAGATTTATGATAATAGGTTTAACCTAGAGACTTTACCTCTAAAAAATATCAATGTGGATTTACTATGTGGTGTCTATATAATTCTCATCTTGTTGGTGCAACATCAACATGGTTTGGATTTAAAACCCATGTTGTTAAATCCGCATCCGTATTTTTTACACAGTACAACAGAACGTACAAAACAAAATCTAGCTACAAGCGATTTTGTCAAAATCCTACGAGAGAGAAGGATATATATATATATATTTCTCTTCCTGTACTCTGTACACATACTACTTCACTTTAACTTATATCATCTCACTCTATAATCTTAATTAAAGTTATCTTAATTATCTTAATTAAATTATTGAATGAGAGAAACAGTATAAGTTAAAGTAAGATAATATATATATATGCAGGGAAAAAGTATATATGCCTTTTTCTCTCGTAGACTTTTGACAAAATCGTTCGTGGCCAGACTCTGTCATTGGGTCTCTCGATTCCATCAGAAATTTTGATTTGTCTATTTTCAACGAGAACTCCAATTAATGCAACTAGACTCCTTTTTCCAGTATGAGCTTAACCGTGCCACGAAGTAGGCATGCGATTTCCGCGTCGCGACGATTACACGCAACCTAGAGACTCTATAACAGAATCTGGACACGAGCAATTTTATCAAAACAAGAATGAGGAAGTAGAATAAATATATTATCTCTTTTTATATTACTGAGAAAAATGTTTGGTTGAAAATGAACAAACCAAAGATTGGTACAATCAGAATTTTCTGGTTTGTCCATTTTCAATCAAACATTTTTCTCAGTGTATGCTATCTCATCATTCTAATTTACTGAAGTTGACAAAAATAAAAAGTTTATACTAATCAAAAGTTTATTATCTCATAATCAAGACTATAGCGTTTCTGTGGAGAGTTCCAAGCAGAACGAAAAATTATAAGTCTGTTTTTTTAGTTGAACTTCTTGTAAGGTTCATCTTTCCTTCTTTTCTCTCGACGTTGGAGAAAAAAGAGAAAAGACGAACTGTGCAAGAAGCTCGACTAAAAGGAACAGGATGATATCAAAATGGCTTTGAAGCCATTTTAATTATGGTACTCACGATTGGGTCATTCGTATCCTGTATGTTTCTTTTCTTCGAAAAGCTAGGAGAAGTATATAATTAGTTATGACATTTACATACAATTTTTTTAAATACACAACTTTATAAATATTTTCTAAAGATGTTAAAATAAATGTAAGAATCACTTAATAATTTTTATATACAGGGTGTTTCCAAATTAAATGGCAAAACTTCGGGAGCGAAGGTAATAAATTTTGCACTTTTTGAATGTGGTAGGGATAGCGATTATCTCCTTTTACAGTTCGCCAAATTGTTTGTGGTGACACTCCCAATACAGCCGACGCATTCCGAACGCTGGTCTCAGGATGATTGTCAAAATGTTGTAAAATACGATTCCCTGCCTGCAAATCTCTTCGTAACGCTGCTTGAAATCGGTTGTTTTCTTGTCGAATTGAAAATGATCCAGTCTCTCGCAATCTATTAAATGTCAACATAAACACTCTTCGGTTTGGCACTCTTCTGTTTGGAAATCGTCGTGCATATTCTCGCACCGCCTTTAAAGCATTACCGTTGCAGAAACCGTATACAAAAACCATATCAGCATATTCACTATTAGAATACGTACGCGGCATATTGCAAAAGACAAAATTCATCTACTGTTAAAGGCTTTCAAAGAGCGACTGACAAATTCATAACAGAAAGTGGAAAATGTAATCAAATATGTCGGTGCTAGATATGGCAAGAAATGTAAACATTTTTTTTCGATTTCTCTGAAACGGAGCAAAAACGAGCATATGTCTATAGGACTTTTTTTCTTAGTTTTTTACTCCTCTACACGCTCCCGAAGTTTTGCGATTTAATTTGGAAACACCCTGTATATTTATTAAAGTGATAAAAATTAACCCAGGACACGAATGACATCGTATGTAGTAAAAGACTGGAAAATCATCATGTCTATTAAGGGTTAAAAGTCACTTTTCGATACAATTTATTTTAACGTCATTTTGACTTCGTGATCTGTTTGAGAAACGAATGAGCGAGCGAAGGACTCGTCTCGACTCTTCTCGCGCCGCATGGTAAACGCAGCGATCCTCGATTCCGGGAATTATGAATTCAACACTCGCACTGCTCCTTCCGGGACGCTTCTTTTCCGGAGATCTAACGTAGCCAGGATTCGTTTCCTGGTACACGCCCTGTAAAATCACGCCGGTCGGAATCGGATAGGAGATGTATGTCAAATCCGGCGGTCAACTCGGATTGCAGAAAAATTTGAAAATCCAATTCTCTCGGAAGAGTTAAAATACATAAACGTGCGACCTCCACGTCCGCGTGTATTTTTTCCGCGCATCGATTTTGTACCCTGTAAAAAAAATACGCTGAAAAGGGAAGAATAGAAGAAGTTAAACCTCGATTTTGAAGATTAAAAATTCAATTTCTAAAAATCTGATATATAAATTTTGCACGCACGTGTGCAATATTTTTCTTGCATTAGTGTCGCCGGTAGTTGTCCTCAAACGGGATACTTGCCAAAAATTTATTTATTTATTTATTTTTTATACCTTTTACGTAATCTAAACAATATGCTTTTCAACACGAGATAACATGGAATAGAGAGCATTCCACTTTGGGAGAGAGTTCATGATCATTGAGAGAATTGTATATTTTATTTTATGAAGAATCCTATAATTATATATACCGGATCTTCCATCAGAGAATTTAGAATGAATAGAAAAAGATGAGATGGAAATAAATATTTTTTTTGATCAAAATTGCATAGAATTAATTAATATTATACTTGTTTGTAATATTGATTCAATAATACGAGTTAAAATCAAATAATTTTAAAGTTACTTGAGCCTTTTACTATTTAACATTAAATAAATTCTATAGAATAAAAAAAATAATCAAATAAAAACAATTAATATTAATACTTGTTGAATCATATAATCAGTAGTTAAATATTTAATTAAAAAGAATTACTCATGTTATCTAATATTCTTTTCCCGCGAATTACAAGATATTTTTTCTTATCTTAAAAGTTACGACATATGCTCGGGCATATGTGAGAAAACATATGTTGTATTGTTATTTATATGCGTAGACATCCATATTGCATTACTTCTCATACCTGTTCTACATTCACCGCTAAGCATCATTGTCCGGTTCCACGTTTCATTCATATAACACGTTCGATCTAAGCAGAAAGCCTTCGAGCGCTACTTAGAACCGTTTCACTAACTCACTCTGCTCAGAATCGACCTCGCTCTATAGATCGACTTTGATCGCGATTTATTCGATCCTTTTTCGAGTCTCTTTCCGGATATAATAGAAATTATAAAAATATTACACGGAAAAATATCGTTCTGTTGCTAAGGAAAGTGGTTACTTAATTTACTTTCTTCCTTAATAACGGTTATGTTTAACAAAGAATACTTTCCTGAGGATAATCTTAAAATATACTTATTCAGAGAGAGATTTTAGAAAAACTTATTATGTACTCAAAACAAGAATTTATTTTCTTTTGAAGGATATTATAAAATTGATCGAAGAAGGGACTTCATATAATAATAAATCGAAAATTTAATTTAATAATCTTAATAATTTTTTTTAATTTAATAATCTTGATTGAAGTATTATAAACTTACTCAGAATATATGTATAAGAACTCAGAATATAATACTTTAAATAAATTTTATGTTTCGATTTCGAATTTATGTTTGAATTTTATATTGTGATGAACTCTCTCTTATGATTATAGATTTGCAGAGACATGAACTTTTGAAATACTTGAAACAAGTAGTTATTATTAGCGTACAGTATATATTTTTCTGTGTATTTTTCTATAGATACTTCTTTATTTTCTCTCCGTTTCTCTGCCAACCGTGAAATGACATTGATTGCTCGAATTTTCTGGTGCCACGTTAAAGAAAAAAAAGAAAAAAAAATATCGTCCAATATCTGCGCAGTCTCAGGTAAAAACCCAAAATAACTCGTAAAGCGATAGATATTGGAGGCTG